CTTAGTTTCTTTTTCTTTTTGTTATTTGCTGAGTTTATATGAGTATGTTTTAGTTGTTTTGATGTATTTTTTGGGGGGGGGGGGGGGGGGGGGGATGCCTCCCATGCAGTCCTTCATTTTTTGGTTTGAAAACTCAGGCAAAGGTATTGTTAAAAATAATTTGTTATTAAATATAAATGGTGTTTTTTGATTCAGTTAGGACATTATTATTTGTAGTCTTATTATTTAGTTATCATTTTGTCAAAGCAAAAATAAAACAATAATTAAAAGCAATAATCAGGTTAACATATCAGTTAACGGACACTTACAGTGGGTACGGAAAGTATTCAGACCCCCTTAAATTTTTCCCTCTTCAATATCCATCAGTTGATCTCTAAAGTGTATTGGGTTAGTTATATGTTACAGACTGACATTTAAAAAATAATAAAAGAAAACTGAAAAAAAAAAGTAATTTTCTCAGTGTAATAATAACTCTTATAGAGTGACCTATAGTTAGTATCTTGGCTTTTCTGCCTTTTTTCTGTCTTTATATGCATTTGACCTTCTGTTCTGTAGAGGTACATGCAGTACATGCGTATCTGATGCGCACACACTCACTCCATCACCTAAATATAATAATCTTGGACAATTTCCCGATCATGGCATTGTCACTCCATACCACCCTTCCTTTAATTAACACTCCTGCTATACTGCAGTGATGCTGCTGTAATTAGTGGTACTTGTGGTACCACATTAGTGGTATGAAGGTGATTGGCTCCCTCTGATATCATGTAAAGCCTCTGTCTGGATTTATATGTAGGATGAGGATCATCCTGTTTAGCACAGACCACAGCCCCTCAGTGCTCATCTAGTCCTAGAACACACGTGCTGTTTGAATTGGCCTCCCAGTCATGTCATATGATGTCAACTGAAGTGAGATGAGGCTGCTTTTTGTCTGGTGCTCCGAAGGGAACTCCACATTTGAGGATACAATCCTATAACATTCTGCCAAACATCAGATCTTTCTCTGCCTTCACCTTTTTTTTTTAACTACTTGAATCCAACATCCACATGTGTTTTCAGTTTGGCTTGTCAACATTTCCCCGTTACCATGGCAGCCTGAGGGGAGCTTGATCTCTCTCCCTCTGCACTTTTTATTAAGTCCTATACACCCTTGTGCCCTTTCACTCTGTTGAACTTCTCATTAAATGAGAAGAAATATACATGACACTATATATTTAACACTATGTATTCAAGAATTCTAGAAATGTAGCTATCTAAGCTTCTTAGATTAACCTGAGGCCACTGAATTTATCCAGCATGCTGGTGCATCTCAGGCTTTACTTTTAAAAACTCTGCGAGGTGCATGAGAAGTTATGTAAAACAATTTCCTCCTCTGTGCTATCAAGAGAACAGCCAGTTTTCCGCAAGAGAGAAACACTATTGACTACAGAGTCTGTTTGAAACATCACTGCTGTGTTTATGCTCAGCTGGATAAGATGTAATGCTTCAGTCCATGGCTCTCCATCAAAAAACATGGAGCTTGGTAAAAAACATGACTTCATTCATCTAGACAGGATTTAGTGCCTTTGTTTAGTATGTGAATAACTTCCATAGCTGTTCCTCAACAATATTTTAGAAGATCAATTTGAGTAGTGTACTTGGTTACTTAAAGCTAAAGTGTGTATTTTCTGTATCAGTAGCATCACAAAACATTATTGCAAAAATAATGACTATTTTTAAACAGGTTTTGCAGAATACTGCCCTGTCTGTTATTGGTTGGAACAAAACAGTCTTGACCCAAACTCACACTATTGGTTGAGCCAGTGTTGCTGTTGTCAGGCTAGTCAGGATACTTAAACAAACAGAGAAATGTTTTGATAGTTCCATAGAGCCATAGAGTGTATACTGTTCTGGGAAATAAACGTACAAATGGCTTACTAATGGTGAAGGGAAAAAAAACAGTAATTACACATTTTGGAAATAATTAAGCTTAAATCAAGTCCAGTCTGTATTGATGCAGTTTGGCTCAGCTATTTTCAGATTCAGAGAAAGCATTTACACTACCATTCAAAAGTTTGAGGTCAGAAGATTTTTATTAATACTTTTATTGAGAAAGGATATATTAAATTGATCAAAAGTGATTGTAAAGACATTTATGTTATAAAATATTTCCATTCTTAATAAAGGCTATTTGTCTTCAAAGAATCCTGAAAAAATACATCTTTCTTGAGCACCAAATCAGAAGAGATATTAATGATCTCTGAAGGATCATGTGTCACTGAAAACTGGAGTAATAATTCAGCTTTGCCATCCCAGGAATACATTTCATAAGAAACTTATTTTTTTGCTTTTTTCCCATACTTGCTCCAAACTTTTGAAACTTTAATAATTTTGCCTATGAAGTATAGTTTTGCAGTATAGTTGTCATTGCATTTTCAGCTTGTGTAGAAAAAAGGTTTTTAGTGTACTTTAGCTTTAATAGTGAAATATCTAATTGCTGCAATATTACCAGTGCTGCAAACCAGAATTGCAAAATTTCTTCCATTGTTCAGACTAACATCCTGCCGCACATTCTCACGATGATACAGAAGTTGATAATATGTCACATTGTTTGAACGGTGTTTTGAATGCCACAGTACTACCTCAGAATGGCTTACTTAGTTTTCTCTGCATGTTGACTTTGTTTGCTGTATGCTTTCTCTCTTTCTGTTTACCGACTGTGTGGTTGTGTGTGTCCTTTTTTTGTTTTGTTATATAAACTGATCACTTCTGCTCTTCATAAGAGGAGATGAGGCAATAGGTTTGCAAGGGGTTCAAAACTTGGAACAGGATTTCCTCTCCAATTCAAGCAACTGCAGATGGATTTAAATGGTCATTCGCCCCATTTTTACACCGTTGGATCCCATTTGTCTCGTAGAACAAGCATAAGACGGTAAAAAGTCTAGATACACTGTTTAAAACAAAACAAAAAATATAAATCATACTGACATAGCCATTTAAATTATTTTATAGTTCATGAAAGATCACAAAATGTTTCTTTTTGATGAGAAAACAGATAAATGAGTGGATTTGTTGACATTTTATGTGCCTTATGTCAGTATTTCGTTTTCCAAATTCTAGTTTTAAAACAAGAACCCCTTTAAAGGAAGCAATGAAACTGATGTGTTGGTTGACAGCAAACAGGTGCCTCAAACCTCTCCTGCTCTCTTGTAAGCAGAAGCTCGAGTTGCTGGAGGAATAGCAGGTATGCATTTCGAGAAAATGCCAGGGCATTTTCCACAATTAGGCCCCACGCTGCTGGTTCTGGAGTCGGTGTGCCCTGGCAAGAGTACCAGAGCACTTCCATCTTGGAATGGACTCCTGGAATTAATAGCCTACTGTTGACATACCAGACAAGGAGGGGCCTATTAACCTCTTAGTGGATTAAAAAGTTATTTTTAAACCAATTGATTCTCATAGACGGTCCTCGTAGAAAATGGTCTCCTTAGCTCACTCCCTATAAATGTCTCCTTTTCTGAGAAAGCAGCAATGCAAAACACCATGCTTTGTTTGTCAATGTATTTTGACCCAGCACTTTTTTTTATTTATTTTTTATTCATTCAGTCAGTCAGTCTAACATGAAAAGCTCCCTGTAAAGATAAAAGTGTTTAATATCTGCATGCAGGTCAGATTGTGCCTAGACTGTATGTGTTTGTTCTGATCTGCTGAAGCATTTATCAAAACCCTCAATGTTTCTCTGAAGCGTGTAGAGCATATGAGGATCCAACCACAGATCAAGTCCTAAAATTTTAAAGAACATGAGAAGTTTACCATTTAAAATGTAAGTTCATTCATCATTTACTCACACTTTTGTTGCTTCAAACCTGTATGACTTTTTTTCTCATTGGAGCAGAAAGGGGATATTTTGAAGATTGTCTTGTGTTTTTGTTTTTGTTTTTTGGTCAGTACAGTTAAAGTGTGTTGGGTCACGTGTTGTTTTAAACCCATTGACCTTATTGTATGGTCAAAAAGAATTGAAACATTCTCAAAATGTCATCTTTTATGCTCCACAGAAGAAAATCACACAGGTTTGAAAAAACATGAAAATTGTCTCATTTTTGTGTGAACTGTCCCTTTTAAGTACCTAATGACTTTGATGAAACAGCTTATTGAATAAAATTGTGAACATTCCCTGTTTGCTCTTACATAATTCAACATTTCTGATGATTCAGCTCTTGCACATGGTGTTAAATCAATCGATTGAACTGGTGGAGTTGACTGGACTAGTGAACGTGCCATGTTTGCGGTTGCAGAACTTGTGAAAATCACACAGGAATCATTAGAGGGATTTGCAGATTACTGTGAATCTGAGATGACGCATAAAGCTGAAGCTTTATAGAGCACCATCTGCTGGTGGTGACTGGAGTCATTTGTTACCCCTTAACTTGTTCAGTTTTATCTTATCTGCTAGTATTTGGTGTCTCTCAATATAAGTGTTTCCCTTTCAATTCGAAATATAATAACATACAGACACATAGTTATCCATAGTGATAATAAATGTCAACTCATTCTTCTGTTTGTCTCCCTCAGGATTGGCCTTTCGATGACGGCGCACCTCCTCCTACCAAGATCGTGGATGACTGGCTGAGTCTGCTGAAGAATAAGTTCTGTGAAGATCCAGGCTGCTGTGTGGCTGTGCATTGTGTGGCCGGACTGGGCCGGTGAGTGCCAAGCTATTCTGTAATCGCAGAAGTGCTGCTAACGCCAAAGCTATAGCCGTCTGTGTGATATGTTAAGAAATTAGCTCAACTTTATCTAACCAGTATGCCAAGCCAGTGCTGTGGCCGCACTGAATTGCTGTGTTTTTTTGTTTTTTTTTGCACTAATTTTCCACAGTGGAATGATCTGGCAACTCAAAAGAACCCTATTTTGGTTGAGGATGTGACACTTAATGACTGTTTTTGCTAAAATATCGTACTTTTCTTCTATTACACTCACCTAAGTCAATGTAAGTGATGATTCTGATTGGAAATTGGGTGAAATATCCTAGTAAGTATAATTATACTAGTATAATTGTATAATTATCCAATTATATTTACAAAAATTACAAGGATTGGGAGATATCTAGAAATATGTGAACAATAGCCATTCAAATCAGTGTTGTTTATGTTGACTAAAATTAAACTATTAAATAATTTTCATAATTGAATGACTTGAAAATGTAATTGAAAATAAATCTGAAATAAAGTATAAATGTTACATGAAAAAAAGTTAAAACAAACTAAAATTAACATGCAAACTGAAAAAATAAAAAAAATTATCCAATTCTAAATATTCATAGTATATAAATAATACTGAAATAGAATTGTTTCAAATGATAATCTTCTTTGCTTTCTACAATATTTTGCAGATGCAGATTCCATGTAGTCCTAGTAATTTTCCAGCCTGCTGCTGTGGCTGTTCAGAAATTGTAGACGTGCAAATGCACATCTGAATTTGATGGGTCAGGCTTTATGTGGCTCGATTCGCTCTCTTACAAAAATTCTCAAACATATCAACAGCCTTTCCCAGGATCTGTTGCTCTTTTTCCCTCAGAATGCAATCAAGGACTGTGTGTAATAGCTTTAAGCTGGCTTGTGTTAGTGTAGTGTTTGAGTTCTGCTGTTTACATTTGGTTTCTCATCACTATTTTTTATTTTTTTGCTTTACCCCAAATACCCCTCAGCGACAGGCTTCTCAGTCTTGGCCCGTGTCCTCTGCAGGTCAAACCCATTCTCCCTGCCTGACCGCTGTGTGCCAAAACCAACCATCCAAACGGACACACAATATTAATCCAAGTTTATTATTCAAAGCATCTGAAGGTTGACATCTGAAGATGAAATAGAAAGCGAATAATAAGCAGCTATCTTAATTGCTCCTTCATATCTCTTTTCAGTGAGGGATCCTGGTGTAGTCACGGTGTTGCCCTCTTATCCGGCCAGCTATCAAAACACACAGACCTTAATTAAGCTGTGGCGCTTGAATTGTTGAGCCAGACGCTCAAATGTGGTGGTTTTGCAGGAGTGGTAAGCTAATGACAGTCTGGTTTAACCTGCCTGCCCTCCTCCCACACTGACCCCTGACCGCTTCTAATGACAAGTTAAGCACCATTCTCTCTGACGTAGATTGCAGCTCCTGTGGGAGCCCTCAGCAGTTTTTGTCAGAGCCAATGTTTGCTTTAGCAGGATGAGTTTGTGTTGTTACGCATTGGAAAGGGGCACACTCAGGAGACTTCAAAGCTGTCAGGACCCTGAGCGCAAACAGTAAAAATAAGGTCTCTGACAGGGAATGACACACTTTTCAAATCAAAATTTATTGTATTTTAGTAAATCTGGGATTAGCACGTAATGACGTTTAGGCCCTCCCCCCACCCTCGAAAAAAATAAAAATAATGATCTAACTGCTCTGTAAACAATTACAATGATTGCTTAAAATGCATTGCCATTCAAATTAAATGTCATTAAAAGGATAGTTCATCCAAAAATTTAAATTCTGTCAAATTCTATTTACTCACCCTTATGTCATTCCAAACCCATATGACTTGCTTTCCTTTGCAGAACATAGAAAAATTATGTTTTGAAGAATGTTGGTAACCAAAAAGTTTTGGTTGCCATTGGCTACCATTGTATGGACAAAAAATACAGTGAAAAGTCAAAGGGGAATCAAAACTGTTTGGTTACCAACATTCTTCAAAATACCTTCTTTCTTGTTCCACCAAAAAAAGAATAAAGGTTTGAAACAACATAAGCTTAAGTACATTATGATAGAGGTTTCATTTTTGGGTGGGCTATCTTTTTAAGATATAAAAATTGTCATCTACTCACCCTCGTGTCATTCTAAACCTGTGTGACTTTTTCATGGAACATAAAAAGAGAAATGTTGAAGAATATTGTTTTTTTCCCCAACTCTTCTTTTTTTGAAAATGAATTGGTATTTGGGCTGCCAGGGTCTATATCAAGTCTTGAAGCCATACAGTAGCTTTTTTTGATGAATAGACTGTAATGTAAGTTGTAGAATAATGAATCTTGCCACTCAGAAAAATTTAAGATACTGTAACTGCAGACCTGTTCTCTGATGCATTAGGTGGTATCCTATCCTTGCTGAGAAGGGCTGAATGGGTCACTTTTCCTGGAAAACATATTGTTTCCTGGCATTAAACACTGTGCATGTATGTATATGTTGCAGGGCTCCAGTGCTGGTGGCTCTGGCACTTATAGAGAGCGGAATGAAATATGAGGACGCCATTCAGTTGATTAGACAGTAAGTATACATTACAGCTAACAATACATTACCAACACCTTGCAGCAGAGTGGTACAACAGCGATACAACCCAGTCAATACAGTGAGCGATACAGTACAAGCACAGTAAATGATGCAACAGTGATATTGTGCATCATTAATGCCTCACGGCTAATTCTACGGCAAGCAAATTATGAAGTCAAAAAATTATGACATACATTATGACACCATTATGACATACAACAGTAGCAGACAACACAGAGCTAATGCATTACAGAAAACAATCAATAAAATATAACTGCTTATATTAATTAAAATACTGCTTAAAATAAAGATTAATGTACATACATGCATATATTATCATACATTTAATTTAAGCCATTAAAAATTTGTGTATATTACTGAAAAACTGTAATATATATTTTCTGTATTAATTTGTGTATATATTAAGATATTAATATTTAAAAGTGTATATTAGTATATTAATATATAATTTTTATATAGCTTCTAATGTATATACATGTGTGTGTATATATGCATGTATACATTTAACAAACATTTAACATCCTATTAAGTCAAAATATTTAGTATATTGCTAAATATATTTTATATATACTTACATATACTTTTATGTTTTATATATACAAGCTTGTAGGTGTGTTTAATATATAAATTTTTTCATTGTTATAAACAAATGAATGATTTAGGGTTTAACATATATCTTAATTGTCTATGTGCGTTTAATATCGTTATTATTACTATTATTATAAACAGAAAAAAACATTGATTAAAAAAAATGAATATAACTAATGCCCCCCCCCCAGGAAACGTCGGGGCGCCATCAACAGCAAGCAGCTGACGTACCTGGAGAAGTACCGCCCCAAACAGAGACTGCGTTTCAAAGACCCACACAACCACAAAAGCAAGTGCTGCCTCATGTGATCCAGTCTCACCAGCCTGCCACTGAAGGAACCAGTCACTCATGGACTAAACCAGACTAGAATTACCAATCTAGTGCATTTGAACATTTCAGGAAGGGAATTCAACCCCCTTTTAGTGTATATGTCAGACCCCCGCACACAGGGTCTTCACCAGCTCAGGGCTGTGAAAGACGATCCTCTTGAATTTTGTCTTTACACACAAATCCCCCCCCCCCACCCTCATCCTCATCCTCAGCTACCACCCATCACACTGTACCAGCAGCACGCAATCCAAAGATGATCATGGCCACCGGCCACCTGCTCATAGAACAGAATCACTGTTGTTATGCTCACGCTTTCGTATGAAACTGCTTGACTACCCTGTTCTTTCCCTCTCTTGAAATTTAGAAGTTTCTGAATGCATGTCGCCGTACTTATTTGAAGATGTGAGTGAGTGGTTTAACCTAGCCCTTTTTTTCTACTTTGAATCATGAATCTACTCTGGGATTCAAGTTTGTTGCACCACTGGCTGCTTGGTTTTTGGTTTTTGGATGTTTTAGCTGCTTTGAAATCACGTTGAAGCTCATAAAAAAGAAATCCAGCTAATCTGACACCTTGCTGTGCCACAGTATCGCAGCAGTGAACTGAGAGAAATCCATGAGTGAGCACACTTGTAGATCAGTAGTTCTGTTTTAATTTAACACAGCAGCCACAAGAGGGAGACCTCACACTATGTACTTCACATGTAAAATCGTGTGCTGCGTACAAGTACAGCATTTTTGAATTGCCAGTTTTATTTATTTTTTGCTGTTTACACTCAGTGCTCATGCGAGGCTGTTTAGTTGTATTGTGGACACTTACTGTGGAATTACAAAATGAACTTTTCAAAGTGAGGCTTAAAATATTTAGTCTTGTCCGTATAGTAGGAAATGAAATCTGGAATCACAGGAATCAATCTGCCCAACTAGTGGTGATATAGACACCAGTGAAGATGAAAAAAAAAAGGGGTAATAAATCTGTGTCAGGTACTGAAATGATCTTGCATCACATGCGTCATTAATCTGTTAATATGAAATACATAAGACCTTGTATCTGGGATAAAGAAATTTCTCTGCCTTTGAAATCAAAATCAACAGCTAGTGAAGCAAATATTAAGGAAATATCTAATAAAAGAGTATCTTTGTTTAATTGTGTCTATGAGAAGAATAAGCAAATTAATTATGGTTATGTTTTGTTTACATTTGCCATGAACGGACATATTTAAAACTGAGCTTACTCCAATTTAGAGCTGAACTTTAAGACAGGAGGTCAGGTGTTTATCAAATTTGCATTTCTGCAAATTTGAACACTTGATAGTCCATATGGCTCCCATTTATAAAAAAAAAAAAAAAAAAGTGTGAATAAAGCAGCTCAATGTTGCACACATATATAAGGGCTTCTCTGTCTCACATGTTGTTTAGTCACTTTTGTTACTGTCTCCACCATCTGTTGAGTGTCTGCATTTGCAAATATGTAATCTTTTGATGAGTTGTGGCCTCAATAAATTTAATAGTTCATCTTGAAATGTCTCTGGAAACCAATGTGATCTGCAAAATAATGTAACAAATTTAACATTTTCATGAATATATTTAGATATCATCGCTAGTGCTGCTTTTGTGATAAAGGATGGTGCAAGACTCAGGTTTATCCTGACCACATTCATTTGTGGTCCTGAAGATGATGGCATCATCCATGAGAATGTCCACCAAGTTTTTTCCACTTGTCTTTTTCTTGTCCCTGACTTTGAATAAAACAACAGAGCTAAAGTCGTTACCCTTGACACTGGAAGATATAGTAGTGTGAGTATTTAAAAATCATGGGTGCCATCAGAGATGATCTGATCTGTAACATTACACTCTTACACCGTAGTAAGGTTCATTGACCCACTGGTTTCCTGATCATATCTAAAGTGGCCTGTTTGATATCAACATATTATTGATATTACGTGTTTTATTAAACAGTGATACATAATTAATGATCTATTGTTCCCTGTTCATATCTACAGTGATTGACATTATTGTATTATTGATCATTTTAATACCAAACAAGAAAATTTAATAATTTATGTACATATTGCTCTTTTATGAAATTGGAACAGATGTCAAATCTGAAATCTGGATGAATTAAAAATGAATAAAAACAGATTGCTCAATATCACAGTATCATCTCATTGGTGGTCATTCTGGTATTGCTCACAAGCATGTACCGGCTGTTGAGTTGTTATTGATGTACAATGTATTTTATTCCTGTTTCTATGATAACATGTAATCACAAAATCTAGCAAAGAATGATTATAGCAAAGAAGGAAAAAAATATTATTTTAAGGTATAATGGGTGTATACAGTAATCCTTGAGTCTTTAGATTTTAATTAAATCGAATGGTAGTTATAGCACATTGTTTCCAGTACACTTTCCCATTTAGCGCCATCTGTTTTATTAATGGCAACAGGTTTTCAAGTTCTTGTAGACAAAAACTGACCTTAAATAGTGTCATCACCATGCTTGAAGGTAATGAAAAGGTCTTAATGTCTTCTAACTGCAAGTATGAAGAGATGGCCACTTGCATGAACATATAGCCTACATATTCTATGAAGTGATGGCTTTTTGTTGTCTCCTCTGAAAGTTTTCTATAGGAAGATACAATTCTAAGTTTTGTAAATGTATGCATTTTTAAAATCTATAATGCCACGCCTAAACAATAAAATTAGAAAATTTCTAAATTTGGAAAATATGCACAGATTTGACGTTGAAACAAACAAGCAGGGGAAAATAACTGCAGAAATATTTGTTGGGAAATATTATGTCCATTGCAAAAATATGAAAGTAAATAAATAAATAAAATCATAATAGCTACACTGTAAAAAGTTAAAAAAAAATATTTCGCAGTTTAGTTGATTTTAAAGTTGACAACTTGCAGTCTCTGAATTTGTTCATTCAACTTAAAGGGGTGGTTCAGCGGGTTTTTACTAGGCTTGATTGTGTTTATGGGGTGCAGTCTAACATGTGTTAACGCTTCGTTTTTAAAAAAACGAATAATTTTTCACATAATTTGCCTTTATTCCACGCCTCTCTGTCCCTTCTCTGAGGGGCTGATCATTTCCTTCTTTTATGAAGCCCCTCCCTCAGAAATAGGCGATGGGCTCTGATTGGTTAGCTAGCCCAGTGTGTTGTGATTGGCTAAACCGCCTCTAGTGCCCGTCTAATCGTCCCGCCCCTCTCCTCAGCGGCATGTGCTTCGGTTGTATTGTAAACAAAGGTGTCATTAATATCACTTATCAGTTTGAGCATGATTGAGAAGCAGAGGATATTATTGAAGAGGATCGTGCAGAACCTGTGCAAGCAGCTTTTAATGGTAGGCATATGTTTTTTGTTTGTTGTTGCTTCATACTTTTAGATACGCTGTTATTTGTAAATGCTACTGCTTATGTTAGCTTTTAATATACGGTTTTATCCTGATTAAAGCTTTAATACAGTAAAGCAGCTGCACGCTGGTTCGTGTTTAACGCTTCTCATAGCTATGTGAAAATAAGTGTATAATTGTAACAGTTCATTGTTGGAGCTGAGCTGAATGAGAGAGAGATGCAGAGCGTGTGCAGAGCAGGGGGACACGAGGAACAGTATTGAGAACCGCTGATTTAGAACATTGATTTTGAAACTTGTGAATCCATTAGAATCGTTAGAAGACAGCATCGTGATTCATACATGAATAGATTTTTAAGTGCACCTCTAGTTTTCTCTTCCTCTTCTCTAAAGCAGAGCAGGCCTCGCCCCCCTTTGCTGCCTTTTCCCGAGGGTGGGGTTTATCTGGGTTTGTGATGTCACGAACCCGGGAAGTAACTTCTTGTAGTCCCTACCAGCCGTTTTTGTAGGCATTAAACTGCCAGAATTTTAAAAGACAAAATCTCCGTTTGCATTGATCTTTCAGCTTCGTAACTTTGCAGACATTGTTTATGCTCAAACAACATGAGACACTAACTAATGTTAAAAAAGTGAAATCGCAATGGACCACCCCTTTAACATTTTAAGTTTTCACTGTCTTCACTAGTTTGTAAGTTGAATGAAATAGAGTATTTGCTCCCTAAACTTAAAAAAATTTGCTGAATCAATTCAATAACAATATCACGTTCTTAACATTACTTATCGTGACTCGTGAGTTACTCGAACTGCCCCTTTTATGCACGTAATAAGCGAAACGTCGTTATTTCACAAAAAGTCGTTATTTCACAAAAAGTATTCTCATAGCTTCGTATAATTGCGGCTGAACCACTGATATCACATGGATTATTTTACAGATCTCCTTGCTACGTCTCTGGACTTGGGAACATTTCAGTTGTGTTCCATCAAAAATATCTTAATTTGTGTTGCGAAGATGAACGAAGATCTTACGGGTTTGAAACGACATGAGGGTGAGTAATTAATGACAGAATTTTCATTTTTGGGTGAACTAACCCTAAAAAAACTAATTGACATCATTTATTACAGTACAGAAACTATAAAGTATATTTTCTACCTTATTCTGTGCAGAAAATTGTAATAATTGTTTGTAGTATTTAAAACAATTATAAAATTGCAATTAGGAAAAAAATATAGATTACAAATGATTGATTATTGTCCAGCTGTGTATTTGATTTCTTATAGCAAATTCAAAGTAAGAGATAAGAAAATAATTCTTATCAAATGTAAAAAATAACAATAAAAACATACATACATAAAATTATTGTATTTGACATTTCTGTCACTTCTGAAATGATGACTGCACGCCCCTGGTGTGACAAAATGTTAGCCTATAATACTTTTAAAGCTCTTTTTTTTTCTTTTTCTTGGCTTACATAAATTTCTACTCATGCCATAGAATCATTAAACTAGCATCTAACAATGGACAAAAGTGTTTTTCCCCCTCTAACCTATGAGTCTGTAACCATAAAGGCTGCTGTGTTGCCCCCTGACTAAGCATTTAAAGAATTCAGGGGAATAATAATTAAAAAAATCCTGTGAATACACTTCAAGAATGCAGAATCCAATCGTTAATCTAATCGAATCGAATTTAATTGTAAATCGAATCGAATTTAATCGTTCTGAATTTGCAAAAATCGTTCTTTGCCTTGTCCAAATACCCACACTTGCGGTCTTGGCCACTTGAGAGCGTGTGCGCGCGACAGGAAGTAAGTGCGTAAGACTGTCCCAGGTCTTAAAAACGCCAGAGCGCAGTGCCCTTAACGCACACTAAATCCACACTATCTCGAATACCGATCCGGAGCACTATTCGAGGCTTAGTGTATCCCATCACGCATCATGTTCTGGAAATAAATCGTGAGACTTTTTGCCGAGATCTCGCGAGAGGTCACGGAAACCTTTCCAATGCAAGTTAAATATTAATATAATAATTAGATATTACATACAATTTGGTAGAAAAACAGTGTTTTTACGTTTTATTGGTGCAAAGCTGAGTAGTGGTGATATTTATTTTGTACAACATTTGCAACTGCTTTTTATCACTTAATTAGAAGCACCACTAATTAAAATGATCATGTTATAGGGACTACTGAATAGACATTTAGAAGTTGATTTTAAAATGCGAAGTATTTAAAATTAAAATTAAAATAAAGCTATGCATTTTTTCAACACTACAAGTGTGTCCCATCACACTAATACAGGAAATACGCAGTCAAGTAAAGACCGCAAGTGTGGGTATTTGGACAAGACACTTGATCGAATCGAAAACCTATGAATCGTGAATCGAATCGATTCGCTGTCTAAGATTCACAGCCCTAATACGCAGCCTTTCTCCAGTGCAGCATACGCCATATTGTCTACCAGGAGACGCCGAGGTAATACGGTGTGCATTTACCACCCACTGATACTTGAATTCCTACATGAACTGACTTTTAAATATTTCCTTCAGATGAGGACACACGCATAAGGCACTACGCTACGAATACATGCTTTTGAGAATACACATCGTGTTATTTGCTGGCCACACAGCTAACTTAGCGTGTGACAGTGCTACTCGCTAACCACTAAAACCCGTCGCGTATTCTTTATAAAAACACACATAAACGGACTATTTGATTCCAGGTCCGATTAAACTCAAATATTCGTGTATGCTTTATAATTCTTATGAATATGGATTGTTTTTTATTTTATATAGATTTGTTTAATCTTTTGTGCGAATGTAGCTAGCGGCGTTAGCTTTGATGTGTGGCGCCACGTTCAGCTAGCAGGGTTTCTGCGATAGAACATTAAGATATTTTAATCTGTGGTCATGTATTGAGTAACTTGTGCTTTTATAATCTGTTTAAAGATGTAATAAGCAATTTGGAGTGTAAATTAGCTAAATGCGTCGGGAAATGGCTTAGGCGTGGCAAACGCTATGCTAGTTAGCGGTTGGCTGGCTAACAGCTGTTTTGGAAGCCGATAATAAGATTCTCAGAAATCCTATAGTTATATTGTTTATATGACTTGTTTGTAATTAATTAATAATGTGGATTATACGTATATAATGTTGGGAATGTAGAAAAGCTGTCTAGTGAGCTTGACCGGTTTATTTGGCTGTGTCATAAGGCCTGTGGCTCAAAACATAATTGATTTAAGGGAAAGTTTACTATTATTCCTCGTTACAATGGAGGTTGGAGTGCTTGAGTATCATCCATAGTTAGACTTTTATGTATTCCATGTGTTTGCTCTCCCGTCTCTGCTTTAAGCTAATTTATGTAATTTTAATAATTAGTCATTCATTCAGGAAGATCACACGGCTCGTTACAAACAGCTATTTGTTAGTCTGATGACTATATGGCAGTACAGTAACCTGGTTGGCTGTTAATGGACGTTGGTCCAGAAATCAGTACTTTGATACCTAGGCTGATGTTGCACAGCGGTATCTGTAAAGTTTACAACTTTTTGTTTTCCAGCATCTGGAGGGCCATGAGGAATGACTTCTAGGATTGCTGTGTCTCCTGAATAAGCTCCTGGATGTCCTCTTTCATTCAAATTACAATCAGGTGGGTTGTTTGTGTGGTGGTTCTGGAAATATATTAAAGTGGTCGACTTTGAATCCACTTGATTATCAGCTTTTTTTTAACAGGCTTATTTATTTATTTTGTAGCTTATGCTCCACCATAAAGTCATCACACCTGCCTTCATCAGCTCCGCCTGTCATTTGCTGCTTGGAGGAACCCTCCAAGGTAATAACCAACATGTATATTTGACACTTTATGAAATTAATGTAGACCTGGGGTTTTCAATCTTTTAGATGCCACTGACTCCCAAATATTACCATCCTCTTGAGAGGCATTTATATGGTTTCTTCTATAAAGACCTAATTTAATATCGTAAAAATATAAAATAATGTCAGTATTAATTGAAAAATATGTATTTAATATTTACTACAAATATCAATTAACTTTATTTTTTTCATTATAGTACTGTACTTTCAGAGGTATTTATTTTTTAGTTATTGTATTTGCTGATTTTTATCAAAAATGTATTGATTCATTTTTATTTATTATAAACTTAAATTTTATTTTGAATAGTTTTTAAGAATAAAATATTTAGCTTTTTTCTCTAAACATTTCCATGGATCCCCTAAATGCACTTTCTTACCCCAATTTAAAAACCCCAGTCTAGATCATACAATTCAGAGTTAAAAATGTTTTTTTTATTTACTGTGCTATAGGGCTGGGCGCTGTATCGAGTTTGCACTTTATTTATTTATTATACACAATATGGTATGAGGTAGTGCTGGGCGGTATGGCCAAAAATTTATATCATGGTGTTTTTCAAAATTATACTGGTTTCACGGTACATGATGGTATTTTTTTTTTCATGCATGACCAGGTGTGAACCATATTTTCTACTGATTGAGAGAGGAAATACTGCAGTATATTGACTTAGAATGCCCTATTTTACTGTCATGATGAGTGAATATTGTCAAAAAATACCAGACTAAATAGTGACTAAACACGACCCCTTTTTATGTTAACCAGGAGTCACTCTCATTTATAATCGCGGCATCGTCTGATAAAATCAACATGCATCTACACTAAAGAGCGGCTATGTGGTTGTATTACTTTTTTGTCTCATGCAGCGCACTGCCTGCATCTGAGTAACAAACTAAAAAAAACAACAAACAAAAAAGTGCATGTGATCTTAACAGACGAACTACGCTCATATTTATAATTCCGAACAATCAGTAAGCGACAGGTGCTAGGAAACGCTGTTTTGTACTCATTTATTGACGAGTCAGCTGCGGAGCGGTCAACTGAATGCGCTGCTTCTCTGCCGCTCACTACACAGAACAGACGCCGAGAGAGGCGACACTTCTCCGGGAAAGTCAGACCTCGTGCTCGCGGGACAGCACTGGCGAAATCTTCCAACTGAACCATAGCTAACCATAGCTAAGGTTTATCCAAAAAAAGTCGCTAGGTTTGTCAGTATGAATATTCTATGGAAAAAAGCTGCTAAAAGGGTCTGAAAGTTGCTAAATATAGTGCTAAAGTCGCGCTTGTGTGTGTGTGTGTGAGACACGGGAGCTGATGGCAGGGGGCAGTGGATATTTGTGGCGGTCAATGTAGATATTGTGGATGACTTCTGTGACTTCTACAGCTTCAGTTTCGGAACTTTCACGCTTAGTAACACATACAGCTGTTCCCTCACCACAGTGCAACAGTGAAAAGGGACCCCTTTCAAACAGTGTCGCGTATATTCTGCATCTTTAAGTGTTAGAAAGTCATGGAAATATTTACGTTTTGCTGTCAGGAGCGCATGAGCCTTCTGCATGTGATTCTCCGCTAAACTTCAAAGATTTAAGTGAGTAAGCACCGCTGTGCGCATGTGTGCCAAACAGATGGAGCGCAATAATTCTGATTAAAATATACATTTTGCTAAAATATTTGTAGTTAAACAATAAATGCGCCATGTGTAGAACTTTAAACCTACAAGTAAGTGTATTTTATGATAGCAGTAACTGTAACGTGACTATTGTAATGGGGTAATGCTTTTGTTTTTTTTTTCTTTTCATTTTTAGTTTAGTGAATTTAACTTCTGCTTTAAAAAATAGTTTTTGTTTTTAGATTGTAATGTGACTTTAGCCCCTTTTTTTGCACATAATAACCCATAGCCCACATGGGTACTTTCAGTATAATTGTTTTTATTGTCTTTAATATAAACTTTGTTTCACTGGACAACATTGGGCAGAATTAAATAAATATTTTTTAATCCACATAGAAAAATGTAGAAAATACAGAGATGTATACCGTATATCGCAATCCAGCCAAAAAATACAGAGAGATGATTTTTTTTGGCCATATCACCCAGCTCTACCGTGCTATTCAATGCTGTTAGATTTGTAAAACATATTTTTGATCATCCTGCAATCTCTCAGTATTATATTTTGTTGTCTTTCCAGGTGTTTCAGGGAATACCGTGTGTAGAATATGTCTGGCCCTGTCCCAAGTCGCTCTCGAGTTTACCCTGATGTAAACACACAGCGACCCAGAGAGTACTGGGACTATGAATCCCATGTGGTGGACTGGGGGTGCGTTCTCTTGAGTTTTTAGCACTTCTAAATTACATGCACTATAAATAGCCAATTTTGACCTATAATTGTGATTTTTATCCCTGTGGATCGTTTCTTTGTTGTTCTCTTTCGGGCCTTGGATCAGATGTGCTGCTGCTTATAGTGGCATGCATGCTATGTTTGTAACGTTCAGTGTGTTAATCTCAGATTGTTTGTACTGTGTGTTTGTATTTTGCAGAAATCAGGATGACTATCAGTTAGTGCGAAAGCTTGGCCGTGGAAAATACAGTGAAGTGTTTGAAGCCATAAACATCACTAACAATGAGAAAGTAGTCGTCAAAATACTCAAGGTATAATTTGATGTTTGCGTTTACACTTGTATAGAAGATTTGATTGGAGATATGTCAGTTTATGCTTGTTTTTCTTTTCTTGTATTTTTAGCCAGTGAAAAAGAAGAAAATTAAACGAGAAATAAAAATTCTGGAGAACTTGAGAGGAGGCCCCAACATCATAACGCTTGTAGACATCATAAAGGATCCAGTGGTATGTTTATTAAAATATTGGGGTGTTTACATTTCATTGTCTACCTAACTTTAAGAGTCTGTGTTTTTTTTTTTTTAATAATGACTTGCAGGTTTTGTTTATTTTCTTGGAAACTTGGTGCATTACCAAAATATGTATACGTGGGAGTTTGTTTGTGTGCCCTCGGGTTTAAAACCCATTCTGCTTTGTTTTCAATGCCCAGTCCCGAACACCAGCGCTGGTTTTTGAGCATGTTAACAACACAGACTTCAAGGTAAGAGATGTTTTTGTTTGTCGCCCCTTCTTAGAGAATTTGATATTGTACTAAACTATCTTTTTCTTCACAGCAACTGTATCAAACTTTATCAGACTATGACATCCGCTTCTACATGTTTGAAATTCTTAAGGTGAGATGATCACTCGGGTCTTCCTGAACAAAGGCACATACTGACCCTACTATTGTTATATATACTGTTTTAAGAAAGCGATATAAAGTGAAACATAATTCTTAAGTGAACGTCACCAGATGAGAAAGCGCATGTGTAACATTATTTTTTAGATCCGCGAGCATTTGGTGTTGAGACAGCAGCCTGATAAACATGTGCTGTCTGTCATTAATTTTAATCAAAGAACAAGAGAAAATCATTCACTGATCATGATTGAATATCTTTCGTGACTTTAATGAGGATTAATTTATATTTTATTTGTGAAAAGAAAACTATTCAGTGTTTTTGAAACTATGCAGTAAACTTTTGATTAAAATTTCTGTACCTGAAATTTGTTCAGTTGTATTTATTTATGCTATTGCTAATTGATTTGTTTGTTCCTATTTTATTACTGACGGTTTACTTGCTTTTAACAATTTAATGTTGGAAATGTATATGAATCTAATTGTTTTTGCTGTGGGTTTTTTTGTTAAAACCATAGGCAAAAGTTACTCTTGTAGACCTAGTGTTCTGTAGGCTGCTGATTTTTGCTCATGTTATTCAGCTGCAATGCTATGTAAAAAGACAGAATACATTTTCTCGAATAAGTTTGACATCTAAATGTCAGAATTTTTTCAACCTAATTGGAATTGAAACTAGGAATTGTTAAGAATCAGAATCTATAAAATTCAAACGATACCCAGCCCTAGTTGCTATTAACATTTAATGAATTTCAGCTGATTTTGAGTTGTCAAAAAATGTTTTGATCTGTATCTAGATGTATGACTACAGTCTGGATATGTGGAGTCTTGGATGCATGCTGGCCAGCATGATCTTCAGGAAGGCCATTACTGCAGTCTTCAGTGTCATGTGATCCTTCAGAAATCAATCTAAAATGTGGATTTGATGCTCAAGTAGTATTTTTCTTATCAATGTTGAAAACAGTTGTGCTGCTTAATATATATTTTTTTTTTGTGGAAACCACAATACATTTTCAGGATTTTTTTTAAAAGGTAAAAAAGTACCAAAAAAAAGTTAAGCGATAATTTAATGCATTCTTGCTGAATAAAAGTATTACCTTATTGACCCCAAAGAGATTTTAGCATGAACAAACTTATTTATTCAAAATAAATAGCTGGGATGTTCAGTAATTCATCTGATTAATTCATAAACTTGCTGTGTAGAAAAAATAATATTTGCTGGGTGCTTTTATTATGCTGGGTATTTGTCTGTTGAATTTATTGATGTGATTATTTTTCTTTCTAGTTAGTTCGAATTGCAAAGGTTCTGGGTACCGAGGACCTGTATGATTACATTGACAAATATAACATTGAGCTGGACCCACGCTTTAATGACATTTTGGGCAGGTATGACTTTAATACACTGTTGATCATTATTGACAGACTCTTTATCAAGTTGATTAAAAGAGGTATTCTGTTTTGAAGTATCTCCATAGTTATTTAATTTTCAGTTACTGTACTGAAGTTCTATATGTGTGCGTGTATAGTCATGTTTGTACCATTTTTAACATGTCTCTTTCTCTTGTTCACCCAGACACTCCCGGAAGAGATGGGAGCGGTTTGTACACAGTGAGAATCAGCACCTGGTCAGTACCGAGGCTCTGGATTTTCTGGACAAGCTGCTACGTTATGACCACCAGGCCCGACTAACGGCCCGCGAGGCAATGGACCACCCTTACTTCTGTGAGTTCCCCGAGTTTAGCACCTCTTTTATATACAGTTGAATAAATCAAGGACTTGCTTTATAATAGACATCCAAACACTCCCTGTACATTGTGTGTAGTGAATAATGGAACCCTGCAAGGTCTATGATCACTTGATGACGGTAGCATTTTTTTAAAGCTATTTGATCAGGAATAGGGTTGAAAAATTGTGGGAATTTTCAAGACTGGAAAAGTTCCATGGGAAATAACGGGAATTAATGGGAATAAACTGTGAATTTGCTAAATTGCAGGAACAACTTAAGGGAACTTAAAAAAATCTTGAATTTCTACCTTGCACATTCCTCAATCACATACACCGCACACTTACTGCAGGGCTATTGAGGACTCATCCCCTAGATGTACTGTGTCTTCCTCCAAAACATGCACAGATAATTTCTTGAATCCTGAACACAAAATGTCCATCTTGGCGAGTATTCGTATAAATTACATAAATATTACTTAAATTTGTTAAAAACTTTCTTGTGCTGTGATTAAGCTGATGCATAACAAAATTATACCATTGTAAAATCAAATACACTGACTGAGCAAATATGTAGGTGAGGAGATTTAAAAAAAAAAAACTGCCTAAAGATGACCCTCCCCCACACACAATCCCCCCTAGTCACCTAAGGGCGTAATTCCCCCTCATTTTCCAGGCTTCCGTTCAAGTAAGTTTTGATATTACTTGGGTAAATATATTTGATTTGTGTTATTTAAATTTAATTAGCAAATACCAAAATTTGTTTATACAGTAGCTAGCTAGCCAGTAAATCAAATATGAAAAATGTAAGCTAGTTAGCACTATTTCGTTGATAATTTATGAGGTTAGGTATCATGTGCTAGCTAGCTCAAGCTGTGATGCTCTTCTACCTTCTGCTAGCCAGTTTTCTGTTATCATACAGAAGTACAGTACTGGTCAAAAGTTTGGATACATTACAATTTTTTATGTTTTTGAAAAATCTCTTACTAAATCTCTTATACAAGCCTGCATTTATTTGATCAGAAATACAGAACAAAACCGTAATATTGTGAAGTGCTATTACAATTTAAAATAATGGTTTTCTGTTTTAATGTACTTTTTAAAAAAAAAATTATTTCTGTGATGCGAAGCTGAATTTTCATCAGCCATTACTGCAGGCTTCAGTGTCACATGATCCTTCAGAAATCATTCTAATATGCTGACTTATCATCAATTTTGGAAACAGTTGTGCTGCTTAATATTTTTTAGAACCTCTGATACTTTTTCAGGATTCTTTCATGAATACAATGTTTAAAAAAAGAACAGCATTTATTTAAAATATTTTTTTTTTTAACAATACTCTACCATTAAAAAGTTTGGGGTCAGTAATTTATTTTCCTTTTTTTGAAAGAAATTAATACTTTTATTCAGCAAGGATGTGTTAAATTCATACAAAAGTGATAAATACGGTGGCTGAGAAGTGCTAAACAAATCACAATTCTGAAAACAAAATAACAAATTACAAACGCAAATGCAAGTCTAAAAAACAAAATAGATAAAGACTTATTGTTAGAAAAAATTATATTTTGAATAAATGGTTTTCTTAAGTTTTTATTCATCAATGAATCCTGAAAGTATCACAGGTTCCAAAAAAATTCATTTTTAAAAATTTGTATTAGTTTGCATGCATATCAACTTCTGGCCAAACAAAATGTTTATATTTATGTTTGTGCATGATACAGTTTCTATAAATTTCCCCACATTTCCAATTAATTCCCATAAATCTCTGTTAAGTTTCCAACTTGGAATAGTTCCAAAATTCCCCAGATTAAATTCCCATGCAAAGTTTCCGGAAAATTTCTGGAAATTTTCTGCCCCGGCTTTGCAACCCTAATCGGGAATAAGTGACAGTTATAAATTAAAAACCCCATCTATGTTAATGTTGACATGTTGCAGATAGATTTCTGATTTGTTTGTTTCTCATGATGTTTATGATATCATTTTAACATGTGTAACAACCTTACGTCAACCAGGTAGGTACTGTTACTTTGTTGCAAATTCTAAATTTGAAATGAGTCACCAATGTTACTTTTTTCATGTATGCCTTGTCTTTTATATGTCTCCTCCATTTGCTCTTTATTTGTTTCCTTTTAATTTTCCTGAAAAAAAAACTTTTAATAACATTTAAATGAAACTTTCACAAGTAAATGATGGTAAATGGCTATAAAATGCAATGGGTTAAGTGAATGGCTTAAACTTCTCACACTAGAGCAAGGCTATGCTTATTGTTGAGCCCTGAGTTACTACATTTCAATGTAACAGTTTAATTGGCTTCAGATGGAATTGATATACATGTTAATGGACACTTCATGTCATTATTTGTCGTATATTTGAGATAATGGTCGAATTCCAGACGGAAGTGAGCATCCCTATGCCCTACTCCCTTCGAAGGGCAGAGCTCTTGAAGTGTGTTCTTTGAAGGGCGCAGGGCATTACTGTCTCGTATAAGCGATTGAAACTCCCTTGGCGAAGGGAATGACTGATCAAATGTTACCTTGACAAAGCACGCAATACTCCATCAGTTGTTGCAAATAAATATTTCTTATTATTTTATTCAAATATTGTCTAATTGTCTTCTTTACTATTAAACGTTTTCAAACTAAACTTGCTTACACTACTGTCTTAAATCATATTTCTATCACTGACGAAAAATTTGTTGTCAACAAATTTAATTAGCCTATTCTATTTACGTTTGTATGTGAACTCGAAATCAACCCTAACTTTGGAAGATCACAAACGGAAATCACTTCCGTGAAGTGACCATCGCATGTTCCCTTCGCTAACGGACTTCTAGAAGGGCCCTTCATGAAGGGATTCAGTTGTTCACTTTCATTTGGAATGTCCCTACAAATGGCGTCCCCTTCCCGAAGTGCCCTTCAAGTATGCAAAAAAGCCGTTTGGAATTCGCTCATTATATTTCATATGTGTCTTTGTATATAGATCCTATAGTTAAAGACCAGGGCAGAGGAGCGCCAGCTGCAGGAATGGCTGCTAGTTCCACACCAGTCAGCTCTTCTAGCTTGATGGCAGGTAAACGGTTTACCTTTCTCTCCAGCGCTTCACCTCTGTTTGGGATATTTAGCCTAAAATGAACGTTGCCATGCGCTCAACCTCGTGTCACTTCAAACCTGTATGACTTATTCTGCAGAATGCAAAAGATGATATTTTGAAGAATGTTTCAACGTCCACCCCATCCCCCTCTATACAGTGCAAGTCAGTGGAGTCCAGAACATACTGGACCCCACTGGCTTTCATTGTATAGACGGAAACAGAAGATTTTTCAAAATATCATATTTTATTTTCCATAGAAGGAAATCTTACCGAATTGAAATGATATGAGGCTGAGTAAATGACAATGTTTATTATTGGGGGAAACCTTTTTTTAAAACTTATCCTACGGTTAAAAAGTATTTGCCCAGAATGTTACTAAGAGAGATATTCAGGCTTCAGCATACACTAGGCTAAACGTATTGGTGGCTTTCACACTGCAGGCATCGCCTCTATGACTCCGAGCACGCAGCCCAATATCGCCAACATCAGCGCCGGCTCGCCCATCATCCCTGGCCCAAACACAATGGCCACACAAGTGCCCACTGCCGCTGGAGCCCAGCCCTGAACACCGCCTGCCCCCCACCCACCCCCTTCTTTCTCACATCCATCTATCCGTCTCTCTCTTCTGTGGGCCTGCTTGGAATTGTGAATCAGTGGTGAAGGGGCGGGGGGCATTGATTTAATTTGTGGTTATTTATATGTTACAAATAACACAAACTTTTGTTTTTGTTCTCAGTTGTTGTTTTAGGGGTCTGTGAACTCAAAAAGAAACCCATAATGTTTTTACACCTGTCTGTATGAGTTAGAAAAGCAAACGGTTGTGAACTTTCACTCGCCGTGACTTTAGAAACACTTAAATGTCCACCTGAAGAAGGATAATAAAATTAATTTTATATGTCCCTCTAGTGTTCTCGTGCTCAAACCATTACACTCACTGACTTATATAGTTTTTTGGGAGCCAGGGATTTTTTTTAAATGTTGTACCTGGTATTTTAGTCCCTGTTTTTACAACAAGTCTTGATCACAAAGTTCACAAAACCTGGTGTGATATATTGAACTTCTCCGAGTATAAATGCAGATAAGGAGTGATTTGTTCCTTGGTTTTGAAGAATATGATGAGGACTAGACAAAGCAGATTTGATGTTTGAGTCATGATTCTTCTCGTTACGGCGTGTTTCAACTCTGCATTTGGACTGAAGGCCAGATTCAATCAAAACTACTGTAACATTTCTGATTTGTTCGATTATTGTGTAACAAAACATTATTTTACCAATAATGGAAGCTCTTTTGTTTCAGCTGTGCTGGTTCTTTGTATATTGCAGGTTGATTGGATTTGGTCCTGGATCTTGTTGAAGTCGCACTAGTTGCTGTTCAAGGACTTGTACCAATTACTGAGTAACACAATCAATAATATGCCAATTTTTGTGTTATCTTCAGTTGTGTGAGTGTGTACGCGAGAGTGGAGTTCTCAGTTTCAGACATTTGTTTGACACTGAAGAATTTTTGAAATTTTCTTTCGAGAGGCGACTGTTCAGTAAAATACACATTTCTTTCTACCCCACGATTAAATCAATTAAACAGGTGAAATATCAATTTAGCATTGCATGTTGTGTTTGCCCTTGGTTGGCTGATTGAAGAACAAACAAGAATATTATGTGGAAGCATTTTGTCTAGACTAACTGAATCTTTAATACCTTAATTGTTTAAGTGTTTCTTAAATTGTTCTTTCTTTTGGTCTTGTCTATTAGTGAAAGATGTTGAAGACTAGCTCTGTAGTGGAGGCTGAACTCATGTTTGTCCTCTGCCTGTGTTCAGTGTGACGAGTTCAAATCTAAATATATTACTGTATTGTAAATTCATTCAAAGTTTGCAATAGATACTTTTGCAGAGATTTTTGTTTTGTTTTATAAATCATTTAAAAGAGAAAATATATTGTTTAAGGAAAAAAAGACCATGTCACTTGCTTTATTCAGCTGTATGTTTAATGCAGCCTCTCTATTACAGTGACATGGTATGTTTGAAGTCAGGTGGGAAAAACAGTCTACCTCACTCACATTTATACGATTTCAATAAAAAAAAAAAAGGAAACCAATTGTTGGCTGTCGTTGAAAACTAGCTTTAATTTTTCGTTTAAGGCTTCGCAGTTCTCTTCCACTGAGGCGAGTTTTACTAACTCTTCAAAGATTGAAACCAAGTTTCGTACAAAACGATAGTTACTGCTTGTATTGGTATTATCCAGTACTGGCACACACACACAAAAGACAAATATATTCTGAAGATAGAGAAGAAGAAAAAAATGTATTAATTTTTTCTTGTAACAAGTTAGACTAATTATCTCATGCTTTGTTTGCTGTTCATTTCTTGATTTTAATTGTCTTGTTAGCAATGGTTTGCGAGTGTAAATAGTTTAAAACTTTATTTTGTGCTATTTCAAAACATTCTAAAAATAAAGTACTAAATAAACATTAAAGGAATAAAACGAAATAAAAAATCAAGTAGGCACATGCATTTAAAAAAAAAAAGAGCCAGTATGTGTAATAGATTTTGAGCTGCTCTGTCTTTATTTGTCCTGTTTTTTTCTGGCTGTGATGAGTTTTCATTTGGAGCAAAGGGTTTTGCACGTTTGTAGTGTAGTCCTCTAATGCAGTGTTTCCCAACCTTTCTTTAGTCGCGGCACCCATTGGAAATTTTAACACATTTGTGGCACCCTACAAAATTAATTTTGTCACAATATTTGAATTTCTAACTTCGATATGATACTTTGAAAAGTATAGATATTCGGTACAGCAGGGAAGAACTGCAGAATATACTGTCATACAGATATTTTTAATATGATAAAAATGTGTCCATCAGTGGTGGCAATCAGTAGCACGAGATAGCTTGAATTGAATAAAAAAAATGACAAGGAGGCTAAGCAGTTAATAATCAAATAAAGAAATGACTAATGATAGCACAAATAAAAAATAACAATTGGCCCACAAATGAAATAAATTGCTTTTTAGTTTTTCAGGTAGGTCTAACACACAGTAGGGCTTATTAAGAGATTTTTTTTAACCAATTATCCAAATTATATTTAATCCTAGAAAGCTATTATTATTATCAGAGGACAGGTGAGCATAACGGTTAGCAGATCATGAATGAGAGGGCAGCGTTACCAGAGTTGTCCATTTACCACACCTTGTTACAGCACAGTAGGGCTATTGCAGACAGAAACAATACTGTACTACATCCATGTTTCCTGTCAGCTTGATTTTTGAGTGGACTTTGCTGTTCCGATGAGCATGAACGGTATATGAGTGGAGCACTCACATGGGCCGTGAGCGACTGAGCGGAGCACACATAGAGCGGGATAATACACAGAGCGTCACACCACGTGAAAGTGAATCCTGAGCGGTGAACTCATTTTCGGCAGCCGGAATTTCAGTGCATCTCTAATTATTGGCGACATCAGAAATGGATATTATATAATAGCTGCTTTTTTTGAACATTTTAACAATTTTAAAATATTAACACATTTTTTTACATGGCACCCCGGTTGGGAAACACTGCTCTAATACATGTTAAACTTTCTTTCTTGAGCTTTTTCTGCCATCTAGTGGACATATGAGAGAATTTATTCATTTTCATTTTAAAGGGTTAGTTCACCCAAAAATGAAAATTATGTCATTAATTACTCTTCTAATTACATCCTCATGTCGTTTCAAACCCGTAAGACCTTCGTTCATCTTCGGAACACAGATTAAGATATTTTTGATGGAATCTGAGAGCTGTCTGACCCTCCCATAGACAGCAACACAACTGAAATGTTCCCAAGTCCAGAGACGTAGCAAGGAGATCAGTAAAATAATCCATGTGATATCAGTGGTTCAAACGCAATTATATGTAGCTACGAGAAAAAAAAAATTGCGACTTTAGTCAACAATTCGTCTCCTCCGCATCACCCTGTAGCGCCATTTTGGAGAGTATAAGCTGGACGTAAACAAGGTATGCTGTTCTGAGTCAGCTGCATCACGCCGGATCTGTTTCCTATGTTGTTGTGATTTGATCTGAACGAAAACAGCGTATCCGTGTAGTAGTAAAAGTAGCAATCGTCTCTAAATTAAAGGTGTCCCAATTAGCTGGTAACTCCTGAAAAATATATATATATTTATCTATTTGCATTTCAAATAGTAATATTTAATACTCCGTCCTTTATTGAAAAAAAATTGCGACTTTAGTGAACAATTCGTCTCCTCCGCATCACCCTGTAGCGCCATTTTGGAGAGTATAAGCTGGACGTAAACAAGGTATGCTGTTCTGAGTCAGCTGCGTCATGCTGGATCTGTTTCCTATGTTGTTGTGATTTGATCTGAATGAAAACAGCGTATCCGTGTAGTAGTAAAAGTAGTAATCGTCTCTAAATTAAAGGTGTCCCAATTAGCTGGTAACTCCTGAAAATATATATATTTTTTTATCTATTTGCATTTCAAATAGTAATATTTAATACTCCGTCCTTTATTATCTGTATATTTAAAACATATTGGGCCTCATTTACGAAACGAACGTAGACAGAAAATTGAGCGTACGTCGTTTCAACGCAAAACTTGGAATTGATCAATATGGACG